CTCTCCTTGTAGACTTGTAAGGAAGATAGGACATTCAAAATGGTCACAGAAAACATTAATTTATTTAACAAGCACATTGAATATCTTCAAAGTTCTAGGCACTGTATTTGACTAGAAATATCAAGAAGAGTAAGGCATGCCAATAGAATCTGCTGGGAGATACAGATATTTAAATATGTGGTTATAAAGGATAAAAGTAAGTAGTGTGAGAACATTTAGGCAAGTGAGCAGGGACATAATTTTGAAGAAGTGATGCCTGAGTGGTCTTGAAAGGGGAATAGCATAGGAAAGAGCATTCCAAGCAGAGGGAATTAGTGTGTACAGAGATAGTGGAGATACGGTAGAGTGTGCCATGTTCAAGAAATTGTAGATAGTTCAGTATGGCTAGAGCAAAGGATAGTATTAGCAAGAGAGAGAGGAGAATAAGGCTGTATTGCTAGACAGACCATCACTGGAGGGACCAACGTGTGTCAGCTCAGGAGTTTGAATTTAACCCTGAGATTTCTGGGCAGATTGGATTACATTTTAGAGTGATGGCTTTGGTGGTAGTTTGGAGAATTAATTGGAGGGAGCAAGACCCTATGCCTGGTATGCTGTTGCAGTAATGTTAATGGGCAACAATGAGTGCCTGAAGTAAGGCAATGGCTTGAAGAGAATGGGATAGACTTGAGAGCCAGTAAGACTTCTCAGAATGATGAATAAGTGTGAGATTTAAGAGAGAACCTCCAAGTTTCTGTTGTGTGCAATTGAATGCATGGTAATAATTTATTGCAATTGTGAATCCAGAGGGAGTAGTAGAATTTTCCTTTGATTTTGGTTTTCAGGAGCTGGAGTTAAAAGTAACAGCAGTGATGTAACCATGGGACATCCAAAATGGAGCTAGTCAAGCACTTTTATAAATGAGTGAAACTCAGAAAATTGTCAGGTTGGAGAGAATGATAACAGTTATTAGTACAGGCACATGTTAGAGATATTGCTAGTTTTGTCCCACACAACTGAAGTAAAATAACTTGTAATCTTTTTGCTGGTGGAAGGTTTTACCTTCAATTTTAAAAAAAGAACATCTAGAAAGTGCCATAGGATGAGGTATGCCTGTGTCTTAGAGGTAGTTGGAATCATGGGCCACCCAGGGAGACAAAAAAAAGCATGGAATTGAAGACACGGAATCCACAGGAACACCAGCATTTAAGGAAATGGCCAAGAGGAGGAGAGAATGGAATCTTGGAGGCCAAAGGTGGAGAATTTTCAAGGAAGGAAGTCATCAAGGAAGACGTGTTTGTTATGTTAGGGAGTTAAAGATGAGATTTGAAGTTATCCATTGTATTTAGCAATAAGGAGTTGAACTAGTAATGTTGGTGAGAGCAATGTCAAGTGGAATGGTGAGGGATAAGCCAGATTACAGTGGGTTGAGAGAGAAAGTAGAGAAAGCAAGTACTGAATACTCTTTTTTTAACATTTTTCTTTACTGTTGAAAATGTTACAGATGTCCCTCCTTTACCCCCATTGAGCCCCTCCATCCAGCTCCCATATTCTCTCCAGGCCTCCCCCATACTATGTCTGTCCATGAGCTCTACATATATGTATATAGGGTCATTGGTTAATCTCTTCCCCCAACCCCAGCCCTTTTCTTTGAAATAAGTCAGTCTGTGGATCTTCATTGTCTCTGGATCTTTTTTGTTCATCAGTTTACTTTATTAGATTCTACATATAAGTGAGATAATGTGATACTTGTCTTTCTCTGACTGACTTATTTCACTTAGCACAATACTCTTCAGCCCCTTCATGCTGTCTCAGAAGGTAAGAGAACCTTTTTTTTTTTTTCCCACGGAGAGGAAGGGAGAAGGATAGAGAGTTAGAAACATCGATGAGAGAGAAACATTGATCAGCTGCCTCCTGCACACCCCCTTCCAGGGAAGTGCCTGCAACCAAGGTACATGCCCTTGACCGGAATCGAACCTGGGACCTTTCAGTCTGCAGGAAACGCTCTATCCACTGAGCCAAACCAGTTACGCCGAGAACCTTTTTTTTTACAGCTGCATAGCATTCCATTGTGTAAATGCACCACAGTGTTTAATCCATTCATCTACTGATGGGTACTAGGGCTATTTCCAGATCTTAGCTATTGTAAATAATACTGCTAGAAACATAGGGGTGCGTATATTCTTTCTGATCAGTGTTTCTGGCTTCTTAGGATATATTCCTAGAAGTGGGCCAAGTAGTTCCATTTTTATTTTTATTTTTATTTTTTAAAAATATATAACCCAGCTAGTCGCCTTTCAGCTCTCCAATCCGCTTTCTGTATTTGGTGCCCGCCCTTTATTAGGTCCCCTGAGATGTACAAATATATAAAATGGAATACAACCTATGGAACAGGAGTTGTGGGCACACGGCACAGCTCTCCTCATGGGAGGGACGTTTGGGCTCGATACGCCAGCATGTGGTGAAGGCAGAGGACCAAAGTGCTCCCTAGTCGCAGTCCGCATTTCTTGTGTGTCTTCGGTTTTGCAACCTAGGCAGTGCCCTTGACCAGAATTGAATCCGGAATCCTTCAATCCACAGGCTGACACTCTATCCACTGAGCCAAACTGGCTAGGGCCCATTTTTATTTTTATTTATTTATTTTTTAATATATTCTTACTGATTTCAGAGAGGAAGGGAGAGGGAGAGAGAGACAGAGACAGAAACATAAACATCAGTTCTGAGAATCATTGATTGGCTGCCTCCTGCACACCCCCTAACCCGGGTATGTGCCCTTGACCGGAATCGAACCTGGGACCCCTCAGTCCGCAGGCTAACGCTCTATCTATTGAGCCAAACCAGCCAGGGCTGTTTTTATTTTTTTTGAGGAAACTCCACACTTTTTCATAGTGGTTGTACCAGTCTACATTCCAGCAGCAGTGTACTAGGTTCCTTTTTCTCCACATCCTCACCAGCACTTGTTTGTTGATTTATTAATGGTAGCCATTATCATTTTAGTTTGCATTTCTCTGATAACGAGGGTCGTTGAACATTTTTTTCATGTCTCTTGGCCATCTGTATGTCCTCTTTGGAGAAGTGTCTATTCAGGTCCTCTGCCCATCTTTTAATTGGGTTGTCTTCTCTTGTTGAGTACAGTGGGGCCTTGCCTTACGAGTGTCCTGACTAATGAGTTTTTTGAGATACCAGCCGTCTCTCGGCCGATTTTTTGCATTGAGTTGACAGAGTAATTTGAGTTAACGAGCTGCTTAATGAGCTTGGTCTCCGAACGAATTAAACTTGTAAGTCAAGGCCCTGCTGTACTCTTATACGAATTTTGGTGAAAAAGATGAGGACAAAAAGTAGAGAAGCCGATTGAAGGGGGAGTATTTTTAATTGAGAATAAATGGTATAAAAGATATGAATAGGTTGCAAATGAGAGCATTAAAGGAAAATATTAACCCCATTTGGAAGATTGAGGCATGCTTTGGTTCCTCAGAGTGTTTTTTAAATACTGGACTTCAGATGATGAGGGGTGCATTTCCCTGAGATGATTTCAAGAGAGGCTGAGGGAAGATATATATATTCCTGGTAAAGGAAACAGAAACCTCAAAGGGTGGAAGGTGGAGAAGTGCTGAGGGGCGTTTTCGGGGAACAGTAAATAAAGAGTCCAATGTAACCGACTCCTTGGGTTTGTAAAGAAAGTGCTAAGAGAAAAAAGTGAGAGTTGAGCTTGGCAGTGGAGGAACTCAGTGCGGGGCTGTGGGGTTTAATTCTATACCTTAAAGTACTGGAAGCTACTAATACTTTTTGATCGGGGTAGTTAACAATAAGAGCAGCTGTGCTGTAGAAAGAGTTCTGAAGCCTGTGGACGAGGCGGGGAAAGAACTCTTTTCCTGAGCAGCCTCTGTAGCTACCCTCTCTAGGAAACACTGGAGCAAAATGCTCCCTATTGTGCTGACTGACTGCTGCTGGGGCGGGGCTGGATTCTTCTTTGTGCTCACTTACACAAAGCTTCGTTACTAACACTCCTCCCAGTAGTAAAAGAGAACTCGGGGCTTTGTTGCTCTTCACTGCATGGAATAATCTGTCCTTGCCCTCTGTAGATACTTAAAGGAAAAAGCAGCTGTTTTCTAGGAATACAGATATATAGAAATGTGGTGGTGAGACTATATTTAAGACAGTCTTCTAGTTTTCAGGTGAAATACTGTCTCACTAAACAAGGTTAATTTTGCCTGCTGCTGTAATATGCAGTAGTCAGCAAATGTTGAAAGTTCTGCAGAATGCAAAGAGGCAAGGAAGGATTCACACTAATGAAGTCAATTCTGTTATCTAAGCATTTCCCTAGACACTAACCTGTATCTTCATGTTAAAAGCTACTTCTAGTTTAATAGGTTCAGTTAAATTTTGAATGTTAAAGGAAACTTACTAGTTTTAAGTTATTACCAGCCTGAGATACACAGGTGATGGCCTTGTGATTTTACTTGTAAAATACAATATCATTGGTTATATTCTTTGTTTGTTTGTTTTTTAATATATTTTATTGATTTTTCACAGAGAGGAAGGGAGAGAGATAGAGAGTTAGAAACATCGATGAGCGAGAAACATCGACCAGGTGCCTCCTGCACATCTCCCACTGGGGATGTGGCCGCAACCCAGGTACATGCCCTTGACCGGAATCGAACCTGGGACCTCTCAGTCCGCAGGCCGACGCTCTATCCACTGAGCCAAACCGGCTCTGGCACATTGGCTATATTCTTATCAAGTGTGGATTAGCATTTTGAAATTGTTACGAATAATGGAGTATATATTTAAATAAGTGGATAATTTGGTGGCCAAGTGAAAATTTCCAAGCTACTGCAGGATATGATAACAGACCTCTTTCTTGAGTTCCAGTAAAGTTGTGTTTGGGCCAGTAATTGACTTAGGATATTTTTGCTTAATTGACTAGCCAAGAAAATACATGTTGTTTGTATTCTCAAGTGCTTATTTTGTACCCTGAGCTAAAGTAATGGGTACTCATAAGTAATAAAAGTAGCATGTAGGAACTTTTATCTTTAAAAGTACTTTTCTTTCAGGAGGCAAAACCTTCAACTGAGGACTTGGGGGATAAGAAGGAAGGAGAATACATTAAACTCAAAGTCATTGGACAGGTGAGTTTCGTTATTTTTCTTTGTTGACTCTCCTTGAATATGTGAATAATTTCTGACACACAGGAAAAATTCTGACTGGCAAGACAACAAGACCTTGGTACTTGTCGTCTTCTTTTTTAAAAACTATTTTACTGATTTCAGGAGAGAGGGGAACATCAATGATGAGAGAGAATCATTGGTCAGCTGCCTCTTGCACGCTCTCCCTCCTGGCCATCGAGCCTGCAACCTGGGCATATGCCCTGATTAGAATCAAACCATGACCTTCTGGCTCATAGGTTGACTCTGAACCACTGAGACATGTGGGCCAGGCTTCTTTTAAAAAATATATATATTTTTATTGATTTCAGAGAGGAAGGAAGAAGGAACTGTGACCTCCTGGTTCGTAGATAAACTTTCAACCACTGAGCCACATGGGCCAAGTGGTAAAGATGTTTTGTTTATTTTACATTTCTCTGATTATCAATGAGCTGTAATTTTTGGTACTATGTTTATATTCTATTGATTACGTGTTCATATTCTCATTTACTGTGATTTCTTATTTTGAAAAATTTTAAAGATATAATTCACGTACCATAAAATCCATTTTAGAGTGTATAGTTCAGTGACTTCAGTTGTTGGGGAAGGTACTTTCTGTTTTGAGTTGCTTTGAGGAGGGCTTTGTAATAATTCAGCTTTTATTTTACATATATAGGATGGACATGCAATTATGAAGGAATGTATTCTTTGATATACATGCTTTTACTTACACTGCTAACTTAAAAACTCAAGCCAGATTGTCTTTATGTTTGTTATATTAAGTTTATTTTGAAATGGGTATAGAGTAATGATTAGAGTGTTTTAATAGCACCTGTTATGAATAATAAAAAATACTTTGGTGGGAAAATACAGGTGACAAGGTTTGCTACTATTTGTGTAATTCAATTATTTGTTTCAAGTAAAGCTAATAATTTACACAAAGAAGGGTAATTTTTTTCTTGTATCTCCTTAGGATAGCAGTGAGATTCACTTCAAAGTGAAAATGACAACACATCTCAAGAAACTCAAAGAATCATACTGTCAAAGACAGGTTTGTATGTTACTGTAGTAAATACAATGCTTTATATGTCATTCATTTATCTTTATGGCTTACCAGTGTATGTAATAAAGGCAAGTTCATTTTGGTGATCACTATGAAATTTCCTTGTTTGTAACCATGAATGTTTAGCCATATGTTAAATTTTCTATTAATTATCTTTTTGTCTTGTTTTTGTTATCCTCACCTGAGGATATATATATATTTTTTAAAAGTAGCAGTTATTCATTTGTGAGTTTTGTTTTTTAATATATTTTTATTGATTTCAGAGAGGAAGTGACCGGCTGCCTCCTGCAGGGCCCCCATTGGGGGATCGAGCCTGCAACCTGAGCATGTGCCCTTGACCGGAATTGAACCTGGGGCCTTCCAGTCTGCAGTCCAGTTCTCTATCCACTGAGCCAAACCAGCTAGGACTCGAGGATATTTTTTCCATTGATTTTTAGAGAAAGTGGGAGGGGAGAGAGAGGGACAGAGAGAGAAACATCTATGTGAGAGAGACATATCTATCAGTTGCGTCCCGCACACACCCTGGCTGGGGCTGGGGATTGAATCTGCAGCCGAGGTATGTGCCCTTGACCTAAGACCCTTCCATCCTTGGTCTGCTCTAACTACTGAGCACCCGGCTAGGGCAATACTATATTTTAAGTATTAATTTATACATAGTACTACCAATAACTGCTAATTGCATTCTATGCTTTCAGTATTAAGGGATTTTCTCTGTTAAATAATCATATAGAAGTCTGTTGAATTTAGGAATGCCAGATTCTCACAGATTCTGGTCTTTATGAGTTAGATTAATAACAAATTCCTTTAACCTTTCTAGATTCAAATTTGGGCTCCATCACTGTTTGACTATGGGACCAAGAACAAGTTATGTGCCTTGTTGTCCCCTTAGAAAAATGGGACTATTACAGTGCCTACCCCATGAAGATGAAATAAGATGACCTACATAAAGCACTTAACATAATGCCTAAAAATGTTCAGTAAATGTTACCCATTACCATTATTAACAAAATACATTTAAAAAAATAAGTGTACTTGGAATTAATATATGGATGCTCCTTAAAATGGGGTTGTGTCCCAACAAACTCATCATTAGTTGAAAATATCGTAAGTCAAAAATGCATTTAATACACCTAATCTATTGAAAGTCATAGCTTATTATAGCCTATCTTAAACATGGCAACACAGTACACTTAACCCTCATGTTCGCCTTGCTGACTGGGAGCTACAGCTTGTTGCTGCTGCCCAGCATCGTGAGAGTACTGTACTGCATATCACTAGCTTGGGGAAAAGATCAAAATTCAGATTTTGAGGTACAGTTGACCCTTGAACAACATAGGGATTATTTTGTATGTTATCTGTATTATATACTGTATTCCTTCTTTTTAAACATTTACGTAATCTTATTTATTTATTTATTTATTTATTTAAGTGTGTGTGTGTGTGTGTGTTTGTTTTTGTTAATCCTCACCCGAGGATATTTTTCCACTGATTTTTAGAGAGAATGGAAGAGAGAGGGAACGACAGAGAGAAACATTGATGTGAGAGAAACACATTGATTGGTTGCCTCCTGCAGGAGCCCTAACCAGGGCCAGGCTGGGGAGGAGCCTTCAACCAAGGTACATGCCCTGAACCTGGGACTCATTGGTCTGCAGGCTGACGGTCTATCCACTGAGCCAAACTGGCCAGGGCTATACTGTATTATAATAAAAGCAAGCTAGAGAAAAAAATGATCATGAAGAAAATCATGAGGAAATATATTTATAATACTGTACACATTTATTGAAAAAGATTCGTGTGTAATTGGACTCGAGAAGCTCAAACCCATTTGTTCAAGGTTGAACTGTACAGCTTCTACTGCACCCATATCATCATTGTTGGACCATCATAAAGTCAAAAAATCGTAAGTTGGGGACCATCTGTATAGAGGAGACACCAAGATACGTTTTAATAATTGAATTGTGTTACATGATATTATTAACTCAGGTATTGTAGGTTTTCTGGAGGGTTTCTTTTTACAGTTTAGTAACTTACGTAAAAATCACTTTTGCTAGAAGAAAAAGAGATCAGTTAGGTGTTAGGATAAGTAAAACAGTTAACATTTCTGTCTCTTCTGTTTTTGATGTTAATTGTTAAACCCGTTAAAATCTTATTAATTGGGGCTCAACTGGTTCACATTTGTAAAAATGGTGATGAGAGCTAAAATTGAGTGCTCACCAGGGAAAAGGAACTTGCATTAACTGTGCTGTGCTAGGTACTCAGAAATAAGAAACATTGTACTTAATCCTCACAACAATTCTGAAGAAAATTATATAGACTTTTTACCCCATCTATAGACCAGGGTGTTGATTATTGAGGAAAAACAGTGCAAAGTAAAGAAGTAATTTACAAAGCTCAAGTTTATGGAAGGTGCTAGGTTTGGGGAGATAATTAAAATATAACAACAACTTAGAATCATTTTCAGCGTTTTTTTTAAAAGGCTTTTTTATTGATTTCAGAGAGGAAGAGAGAAAGGGAAATAGAGAGAAACATCAATGATGAAAGAGAATCATTGATTGGCTGCCTCCTGCATGCCTCACATTGAGGATCGAGCCCATAACCTGGGCATGTGCCCTGACCAGGAATCAAACTGTGACCTCCTGGTATATAGGTTGATGCTCAACCACTGAGCCATGCTGGCCTAGCTCCATTTTGCATTTATTGATTGGGTTTTGTATGAACTTTAAAAAACAATATATTTTTTTATTGATTTCAGAGAGGAAGGAAGAGGAAGAGAGAGAGAAGAAACATCAATGATGAGAGAGAATCATTGATCAGCTGCCTCCTGTAGGCCCCCTACTGGGGACCGAGCCCGCAACCCAGGCATGTGCCCTTGACCAGAATCGAACCCAGGACCCTTCAGTCCACAGGCCAACACTCTGTCGACTGAGCCAAACTGACTAGGGCATATAGGAACTTTTTTGACCCCAACACAATATAATGCTTCTTTTTCAAAAAGATCCTATAATTAAATTAAAATCAAAGCATATTCCGCCTTTATCAGTTAAACTTATTTATTTTTTAAAAATATATTTTATTGGCTGAAACCGGTTTGGCTCAGTGGATAGAGCATTGGCCTACGGACTGAAAGGTCCCAGGTTCGATTCCGGTCAAGGGCATGTACCTGGGTTGCCGGCACATCCCTAGTAGGAGACGTGCAGGAGGCAGTTGATCGATGTTTCTCTCCCATCGATGTTTCTAACTCTCTATCTCTCTCCCTTTC